AGGAAAAACACCTTGAAGCTCCTGTTTCTATAGCGCATACAATATTAAATTCAAAATTTGCGCTATCGCTAACGTTGGGATCGCATGAGCAGAACATTGCGGCTACTGCCTTATTTCTTGCAACGAAAACTGAGGAGAACTGTCGCAAGACGAAAGAAATAGTCATCGCAGTTGCAAAGGTTGCACAGAAGAATGCGTCTCTCATCATTGACGAGCAATCGAAGGAGTACTGGCGCTGGTATGCATACTTGTGGAGACTTCTATCGTAACCCGACGGTATCTCTTTACAAAGTGGACAGGACTTTACTAATTGTGATACCACAGGCGAGATAGCATATTACTTTATGAAGAGGTAATGCTGGAGCAGCTTACTTTCGACGTAGTTTTGCAATCTCCATACAACTATCTCTTCGAATTCGTTCCCAAGCTTGGTATGGCGGAAAACAAACATATTCGGGATACCGCCTGGGCATTTCTAAATGACTCTTGTCTCACAATTATGTGCTTACGTCTCAAACCTCGAGACATTGCAATTGCAGCAATATACTTTTCTGTAAGTAGATTATGCACTGCTCTATCAATTCTCTATTGCAAGTCTTCTCAAGAACAGGGGCAAATTACTAATCGAAAGCTCAATAGCTCAAGTATGTCAAAGAACATGTTCCTGATAGTGAGGATGGCCTACCGTGGTGGGAGGAATTGAAAGGCTCAGCAGATCTGATCGCCAAGGCAGTGCATATAATGAATGAGTTCTACACGGAGAACCCATTAAGACGAAGTGACAATCCTTACTCCGGCTCGCCTGGATCCAACATGGAAGCAGATATCAACAGTACACGAGCGGTGTTCAGCATCAACACCCCAGAATACACTCAGAACGGGCAGTCTCCGGTGAATGGGTCAAATGGAATAAATGGAATCAAGGATACCGCATCACAAGATTTAGATAAATCATTACGCTCGGAGAATGGCTCCTCTGATGCACACTTGAAAGAAGCAGCCAATGACCCTGCGACTCATGAAAAGACAGGGAGTAGCAACGGTGCATCAAGGGTTATTTCAAGCGAGAATAATTTGCATTCGCGAAATTACTCTCTGAAGCGGAAGAACTCTGAAGATTCATCCGGCGCAGCTGCAAACAAACTAGCTAAGCTATCTAGTGAAGCTTCGAAACCCTCCGCAGATGGTCCGACATTTACTGCTATATCGCCTGGTTCAGAAGAAGGGGAGGAAGGGGAGGTGGAAGAATGAAAACAAATGTCATTTTCTTTCTGATACAAAACAACAGGGTTTGCTTTATAGCGAGGAGTTTTGGAGATAACTGCACAACCTCTGCAGTTCTGGGTGGGAGGCGTTCGGACAATGTTGCTCCTCTGTAGGACTACAAAGCTGGCGTAAATCAGGCGGTATATTATACTAATGAAAGATTGTGATCTGCACACTACAGACTATTCGAATGCCTCGAACTAGAGCTCTCTGTGCTAAATATTTCACGTCCACTTTGTGCGTTTCGCATATCTGAGGAGTCATCTATGTCATTGTGTACAGAGTGCCTCGTACTCCTTCCACGTATGTACAATAGCTGACCCATTTCTCTTAGCCTCTCTTCCCCCCCTTTGTCATCATTATAATGCCCATCACGCATCAATCTCCATCGTCAAACAGCCTCGCAAATGTGGTATCATCCCGTCCCATAAAAAAAAAAGTCAAAGAAACATAATCAAACCCTATCCGCAATGCCTCGAACACCATAAAACCACAACTCTTCACTCCTTTCTCAATGGAAGAATCTGGAAGTGGCTCCGATCGCAAGTTGGAGATGTGGCTCCATCAATCCGCCAGCCTTAACGTCCTCGACATCGCAGACCATTTGCAAGATCTCGGTATCCAAGTGCTGTGGCATATGTCTGAAGTCAAGCTTGACGCTCGCCCGACACTCATAGCTCAGCGCTCCTCGGCCACCTGGTGCAACGCGGTAGGCATGAAAAAAAGAGCAGACAGTAGCTTCGGTGTTCGTATGTTCTGGCGTAAGCTGATAGAGCGTCTTATTCTGCATGACATGTTCTGCCAAGTCTGGCTCATGTTAGCAAAACCGAGCAAGGAATCTCCCAAAGGACAAACAACATACCCTCGTACTCCGATACTTCCTCGGCTCGCCAGTACTGCTTATGCTCTATATCCTGGAAGGAGACTTGCAATCTGCCATCCTCGAGCTCGGAGACGCTGTAGCCATTACCGTATCTCAGTTTTTGCACCTCATTCTCCATCTCAGCGACGAACCCTTCCATCTCGCTAGTAACACGATTCATCTCCCGAACATGCTTTGCGATGATAGAAAGCCCTTCCTTGATATACTCGGTCTCCTTGACCACGCCTTTGTCCAGTAAGTAAAGTAGCGCGTTGCCGACATTGGTGATATTCGGTCCAGTCTCGAACTGGGATTGGTCCTCGGAGACGGAGAGCAAAGCGAGCGCGGTGTCATCGAGGGAGGCACAGATCGATGAGAGTGTCTCGCCGATAATACGCATGTGGGACCGGAAAAGAGCCTGGTGGGTTACGCGACGAGAACGAAGTTCGTTTTGAATGGTGAGGATTTGGGATTCGAGGGCTATATTAGGTGATGAGGGGGTCAGGTGGCTGATCAGCGGTTGCTGATTGAAACCGCCGCGCATGGATGATACTGAAACGCAGAGGATGGAGAGAAAGAAGACAAAGACGGAGAGAGAAGATTGTCGAAACATTGTGACAGTTATGAAAATTGTTTGCCGTGACGTAGATCGAAGATAAAAGAGGGTCTGCCGCACTATATCAGTTTTGAAGTTGTGAAATTTCAGAATGGGATCGAGCACCAACACTTTCAATATGCTATAGTACAAAGCTCTTTGGCGATCCCAAGATCAAAGAAGACAGATATGGTGGTAATAAATCAAGTCTCCTAGCGTTTTTCAAATAGTGGAGATTGGGATGGAGAAAAGAGTCAAGTTACTCTCTGTAGAGGCTTTGTGAATATACAAGGAATGGGCAGTAGGATGGGACGAGAGGTGAATAGATTGGGTTTCATTGGTATGGGGTCCGCGGCAAAGTTAAATTGGCGAGTGTAAACAGAAATGAAGCATTGTCTGTAGCCTTACTATTGCGTTTTGTGAGAATGGAATTCATCTTAAGTGTTTTAGTCTAGAAGATGCCAGTACTTAGCAAGGCCGGTATACTGAGATATTTAGGTGCTAATTTACATATTATTCCCTAGCTCTTGACTATGTAACCACCATCTTCGAGGCCCTTCAAAGAATTCTCAGTAGCTTCGTTCATTCATCACCAGAAACATCCTCGTCAGAGGAATCATCATCAGAAGAGTAATCATCATCAGAAGAGTAATCGTCGAAGGAATGCATCAGTTTTGTCAAATTAGGGTCGAGACTTTTGTCCAAAGTCTCGCAGGCGTCCTCATATAATGTGATTATCTTACCATCCTTGTTCTCTGACTTAAACGTTGGGATCCGGTAGACTGGATTCCATCGTTCTCTAAGTTTTTGAAGAAGCGCCATGAGAATTGCCATCAAACTATTTGGACTAACAGTGCCTCTATGCTCAACCCAGGTTACCTCCAACTTTGGAAATCACGATGCAAGAGCTGCAAGGTCATGAAATAGCCCCTTTCTGCCCCTACTGAATTGCTTGCCAAAAAAGCCAGTCAAACTTTTAAAGGTCGAGTATAATTGCCTGATCGTGTAGAATGCTACAGGCGGTTGTAAGTCATTTTCAGTTGAAAGACTGGGTATAGATTTGTCAAATCCGAGAATTATAGAGTCGTCAAAGCGGACCAAGTTTTTTGCACCTCCTACAATGGGTATTGGACGCTTGAAGGTCATCAGGAATATTGATCTCGGTTCATTCGAGGTTCGCGAAAGTGCTAGATCTCTTTGGCTACGGGACGTGAAGCACGTTGGCCAGCCGGCATCGCCTCGCGTCTTCACAGACTCCATAGCAAGTCGCCTTCGTGCGTGTAACCCATCTGAGCCCAGGGGCGTAAACCAGTATATTTCAGCTTTTACCATCAAAAGGCGTTCTGTCTCTGGAAGAGCCTGCCTGAAGATCATCAATTGTAGCTCAGTCGGAAGATTTGGAAACAAGGTGAACTCCGCGATAGGCTCACCCAGAATACCCTTTGGCCACTGCCCAATAGTCAATCATCATTCATTGCAACATGTCAAAATCTCACCAAGGACTGGCCATAAGATGTTGCAAATTCTGAGTCGAGATAGGAGCGAGGATCTCAAACTCAGGTGCAGGAGTACCGGTAAAAACAAGTAGCTTTTCGTATGCATCGGGCAGCGCAGACGCAGACTTAGGCTGGGGCGTACTCAGTGTATCTAGATGTTCTTTGGAGAGCATTGGAGTAAGAGGAGCGAATGCAGATCTAGGCACGCTCAATGTGGTGATAAGGAAGTGCTGATCTTTTGAGTCATGCTGCTGGAGTCCGAAGGTGGCGCCGTTGGAGCGGTTCGGGTTATAATTGAGTCATTCAGTTTGATCTTAAGGGATGTATCTGATTTAATCTCTGGTATTTTTGGACGTCCATTGTATCCACTGGGAGCCATGAAGCGCTTTGTTTATTTTTATTCCACGTCCTTGCTTACCTTAACACCACTTAAAATTTGATATCTAGTTTCTAAAGATTTGAAGTAAAGACGCATTCCATGCCAAACAATTACCCCCTTAAAAGTGGGTCAAAATACTCGCTTAACATCCCACTTGTAACCTGAAGCTTTGGCATAGAAAACTCTGCAAAGCAACAACGCACCCAATTAAAATGCTCCTCCCGAGAAGTTTCTGACGATCCTTCTAAGCCCCAAATCCGAATCGTTTATGCAGAGATTAATATTAAAAAAAAGATGTGACAAAAAGGTGAAAACTCCAGCTTTGAGCCTCCAAAGATAAAAGAGATGTAGGAATAAGCAAAAGTCCAGAGCGTGTTTCACCACGCTCCCACCCAAGATCTCTGAACTGCGCAGGGATCGAACCTACAATCTTCTGATTCGAAGTCAGACGCCTTGCCATTGGGCCAGCAGTCCGATTGATCTTTGCGTTTTGATTGGAAGGTCTGGCATTAAGCTGATATATATACCAACCTAGCATTAACGCAGCGCAGAACAATGACTTTTCAGCTACATTTTTGCTTTGCGGGATATCCACATCTGTAGTTCCCATGTCGTTTCTTTTTTTGGGAGGGGGGGGAGTATCACGCTAGTGTAATGTCGAAGTCATGAAAACTGCTATAAGCAATTGGCTTTTGCCACAGCCTAAAATCAGAGAGAGCCTACACTGAATGCGTTGAAGAAGCGGAATGTTTTTCGTGTTGGATAACCTCTGGCTATACACGCATTTACTACCCTCAACAGGCTTTGTTGCCAACTTGTCGTGGCTTTACTCTAAATTACTGTTATCAGGTTTTTGCGGCACATGTCCACAAGCACATAATAACAGCCAAAGGTACAAGCCCCCTTTACCAGAATTGAGCAGGCAATCTAGCGGGACTTTCCATATATAACTTTAGATATACCTCCGACATAAAAACGGCGCTTGCGTAGGTCACCAGGTTCATGGCTACAGACAAAGAGAAAGCTTTGCAAACAAGCCCTGAGCTCTATTATAGCTAATCGTTAGACGCAGATCATCTTTTGTAGAGCGAAATTATCCGCAACCACTTCAGATGTTCACAAACTGGGCGCAAAGACATATCCTGGGTGCTGACAGCACAACTATAAAAGACTACGCCGCTCACCAAAAATTGAGTTTTGGTAACGCCTTGAGATACGAATAGGCTTAGGACGAGATTTATCCAGAGGAGAGACCTCAGACCTTTGGCCAGACCTACATATAAAATATATTAACCGTCGCGCAGACTTCGCAATTGAAGTTGTGGCGATCCTTCATTTTATCTGTAATGGCCCCCATTGGCAGAAATATTCTTGAGTACCTTCAGCAAGTTATTTAGCATCAGGTTTGTTATTATACTCTAAGTTGCTGTCATTTCCATCTCGATTCTGAGGAATAATAAAGAAGGCCTGGAGAGATGTTCTCGAGATATCCTGTGTAAAAGCGTATATAGCAGAGGTTAAATAAGAGCTATGGATGAAACCGGCAAACTTAAAGTAAGGGGCAAGACTGTTGAGCCCTTCATAAGCCCATAAGACGCTTCATCGTAAGCACCCGTGCCTCGTGATAAAGATTCCCTTATCTCCACTATCGTCATGCTCCGGTACCCCCTCTCCAGCCTCCAATGCCTCCACAGATATCTGACTTTGGTACCTTCCCGTTCACCGTACTGATTCGTCCAGAAGATTCGCTTAATGCCAGTTGCGTGCATAGCGCTCGCACAGTGATAGCAGGGACGCGAAGCGCGGACCCCGGGAGTATTTAGTGCAGGTGGTACAGTAATGTTCGGCGACGAAGTGCAAAATACGGTGGAGAGCTCGCCATAAAGCGAGGTAGGCTCGGAATTCGGCGTGAGTATTGCAGGCGGAAGATGTAGGATTGGCGGGGAATGTTTTGCTATTTTCGTGTGGCAATTTCCAGGTCGTGCGACGTAGAGATCCGCGCCTTTGAGTCGCAGGTCTTTGGTTCGCTCTGACACGCTTGGTCTGGAAACCGTGGCCTTATTATTCGTTATCAAGACTTTCGGGGGTTCTAGTGACAGAGGCGAATGCTTTCTGGGAGGCCGAATTCCATTAGTCATGAACTGTTGAATGTGTTGAGCACTTACTGGGAGCTTATGCCTCCTACGCTTTGTCGAATCCGTGCTACTGCAAGATTCCAAATATGTTACCTGTATATTGTTCAACAAAGCATGCGAACTACAGCCGCTCTTATGTCGATAGTGCTTGTCCAAGTATTCGTGAGGATAGAGCCTGGACTTGAATCCCTACTGAGGCATATTCTCGTTCTTCAGTCGGTGTTTCTTGGCACTCTTGTCCAGTTTCAACGACTTGTACTGCTTCTCCACCTCGTGAAAACCGTTTCCCTCTTCCTTGTTGTTGGATTTGTCCTTGTCCTTGAACACCTGATTGAGATTTAGCTGCTCCAAACCTACAAGTAGATATTTAAGTCAATTTCCCAGTCCAGTGATAAGAGAAACAGTTTCACATAACAAAATAATGCTCGAGGCACAGATTTCCTGAGAGCATTTCTACACATTAAAGAAACTCACAAAATCTTCTGCGAAATGAAATCTTGCTCCAAAATCTGACTCACCCAACTTTTGAATAGAGAACTCGCCACCTTAGGCTCTGCTAATACTGGAGACCGTCTCAGACAAGACTGTCCCAACGTACGCCTTGAGACCTCATTTTCGCAGTTTTCGTTTTTTTAGAATCACCCGGTAAGGAGAAGCACGGCCTTTGGAAGCACGCCGCTGAGCGCGCCAAGGTCTGAGAAGACAAGGTGCCAGAAGACATGCCGAGAGCCTAGAGACGTGGTTAGTAGCTATCAATAATACGCACTTCGATTCTCCCAGGGAGAAGATCCGGAGTTAACATTAAAACTTACAGGATGAATAGCCATCATCTCCGAGTGCATAGACAGTGGCACGTTGGCGTTATAGCCATGGCCCCGTCGTCCTGGGAACCGGAAGGGAGAACCCCCGTCTTCAATGTTCCGTCATCAAAACCAGGACGATATGTATTGAAGCTCTGGCTGATAGCCTTGCCGCCACGAACAATAATCGCGCCATGGCGGTAGCCGAGAGGAGAGAGCTCAGCCCGGGCAATACAGAGGGAGAGATATGTGTCGTTTCTTGTAGACATTCTGGATTAGTTTTGGTAGTCGGGTCGGGGTTGTCTGAGCAATTTTGAGAAATGAGAAGTGAGGTATGAAAAATGAGTCTGAGTTTGTTTGTAGATTTAGGCCACGGTGATATGAGAGCAGATTTAATTCGATACTCGATCAAGTTTTGTCTAGACTCTGGTTGAAGTGTTTTTTACTGTGCTTAGCCAGTTGAGAGGTTCGAGGCATAAGGAGATTTAAAGCTTGAAGGGGATCACGTGCCGAAGCAGTCTTCCACAATACTTATGGTCTTTCACAACTGTTACTCATTGTACTGACTGCCACGATAACGCTCTTTGGTACAATTCATGCACAAAGCTTGCTAGGGCATAAGCCTGCAAGAATGATATAGCAACGATGAGTTTATACATTGAGCACATATTCACTAGACATAGATCATTACCCCTTTCTGGCCTGCTTGAACGGATTGAGATTCTTGTTAATAAGGTTTAATATCATCAAGAGGATATCTCTTGATCCTGCATGGCATTGGTCTATCCGAAGCGGGCATCCTAATGATGTACCATGTGTATCATAAACCTATAAAACCTTGCGCCTAAAGATACAATACTTATACAAACTTCCACATGCCTACAACGTGATGACGCCTTTATCAATTTTAGGACTGTTACGTCTACCATCTACGGTTTCTGTTGACCACTTGCTCTTCCACTTCCTCTCTTGCGCCAGTGCCTCTTCGAATGCCGCCAAGCACTCGGGCGGTAGCTCAGCTTTGATATCATCAGGCACACTCGCGAGTCCATTAAACCCAAGGTCGTGAGCATCGCCATCGGGGCCTGGAATGCCGAGATTCGAAGTAGGTGCAGACTCGTATGCTATGTCTACAATCATGAAGTTTCGAGCATGCACTGGCTTGACTGGCGGAAAGATTGTGCTATCGTCTTCCCCGTGGTGCCTGCTGTGTCCATTTGGGAGCTTTTTCTTGGCCACAACCTCATTGTCGTCGATTTGAACCCACTTGGCGTGTGTGGGTTGCATTGACTTTGGGTAGTGCATGGAGTTTGTGTGAGGATCGTAGATGCCGTTAAGATTTTGTCGACGAATGGCACCAATTGTCGCATTGAATTGGCTGGTTATGGTTAGCAAACTATTAAAAGGTAATCGATGAATTGAAGACTGCGAACCTTGAAGATGACGCATGCTCAAACATCCAGTTAGTATCATTGATCATGACACGCTTTCTCTTGACATCAACAGGTTTAACACCTTGTACAGGGACCGAGGGACCTCCAGTGTGGTACACGGAGCTTGCTCCATGCCAAGCAACATATTGGTTCTTGTTATACTCCTCACCAGGCTTGACGATATCGGCAGGGTCAGCCAGTTCACCTTCTACTGCTCCTTCGGCCTTCAACTTGGCAACTTCATAATCATCTATGATCCGCCTCCCGCCAACGATAATCTGAGCGCCGAACTCGCGGAAGACGGAGCGAGCTGTGACGATGCCAATGGCACGCCCTTTGTAGGAATGTGGGATGAGCTGGCGATCAATTAAATCTCTCTTCTCGTCGTCATCGATAATGATTTTATATAACCGTTTGTGCTTGGTGAAGAAGAGATAACTGTCCCGGAACCCTACGCATCTGGCTGGCTCTGTTGACAACATATAAAGTCTCTCCCCCCTGCCCAAAATTGTGAATGTTCGACATCGGTAATCTCGTCCGCCTTGAAGATGTCCTAGCTTGGTAACTTTCTTCTCGCCCTCCTCATCTTCGGGCATAGCTACCTCATCATCAATGACATCCATCATATTCCCTTCCTTATCCACGGGTTGTTGAGTAACGTGTGATGGTCCACCTCTGTTCTTCCATCGGTTCCCACCACGAAATCCTCCTCTACCTCTGCCTCGTCCCCTTCCAGGTGTACCAGTCGCCGGTGACCGACCTCGTCCATCATCGTCGTCCCAACCTGGAGGCTTGACCTTCGGTGGCCGACCTAAACGCCGTCTTCCTCGACCGGCCGGCCGCTCCTCTGGCACTGGTGTAGCAGGGGCTGAGGCAGGCTCTGAGTTTGCATCCTCATCTTCTTCTCCATCCTCAGCCTCATCTTCTGGTTGTGGAGTACCGACTTCGGATCCTGCATCTATCATCTGCTCGTCCTCGTCGAAGTGCTGTGGAGTATTTTCTGTATATAACGTTAGAGGATTGACATGATCGAATCCATCCGCGCTATCGCTCTCTTCGTCCGCCAGAGCTTGCGCAGTCCGCTTGGTAGCCAGCGACTTAGCCTC